GTGTAGGGATCATCGACCTCAATAGGAATCGTGGCTTAGTATCGGCAAGCTGCAAGTTGATGGCGATGACTTGATGAAATTTAACTAAATTGATCAATTTGATCAATCTGTCCTAATTTAGATTTTGATATAATTATTGTCTAAGGTCAATTCGATTTTAATTACAAATTGATTGGGGGTGCTTGGTGGGCTCAATTTAGGCGATCCGATTCTAAACTATCAATTCATTGTGGCTCAATTTTTGGATTACCTAATTAAATAAGATTAATTGACCCATTTAGGTCCTTTGCAGAATTATTAGAAAAATATAAGATAAATTTTTATAATTTCTTATATATATTAGTGATTTTTTTATTTCTTGTGGTATTTAAATTCTAATTATTGTTATTAGATATTTATATAGTTATTCACATGTATATATTTCAAATTATAAAATTATATTTATTTGTTAATAAAGATATGATTTTTTTATCATGATTATTGTCATCATATGGGTTTTTATGTTAATTAATTTTTTATTTAATTATTATTATTATTATTATTATTATTATTATTACTACATTATTAGATTAAAGAATATTTAATAAATATTATTTATAACTTATATCTCTAAATTTTATCTTACTAGTAGCTACTAAAATAACCTAGGATGATAAATGTATGAGCTATAAATTATAATAAATATTTTATCATTTATAGAATATTTAAGATATATTCATTGTATTAATCTCATAGTCATCAAAGTGGCTTGGACTAATATATTTATAAATTATGTTAAATATTTATCTTAAATGATATTTAGAAAAATAATATTTATAATAATAAATAATTAAAAGATTTAGATAATCTCAAAGGAGAATCTAATTTTAATAATTATATAATGAGACAAGATGATACTATTTTGAATATCCTTATAGTCTAGGATTGTATATCTAAAGATAACAATATTATTCTATAAGAATGATAATAGTCATTTGTAATGGTAAAATATTATGTTAACACTAGTTATGTCAATATTTCACCTAAAGGTGAAATAGATATAATATCAATAGTTTAATATTTATTTTAAAACTTAAAACATTAATGTTGTGTATCTGTATATTTTAGATTAAATTATTATAAATAACTTGAGCATATGCAATTTATACTAGAGTTAAATAAGAACCTTATTTATTGAAGGAATCACAAACTTAACTATTGAAAGTTTCTATGAGATAAATAATTAAAATAAATAATTAAAAAGATTAAAAATTATTAAAAAAATATAACTAGCATATTGAAATATTAAAGGATTGGTTTAAAGTAGTTGATAAGTCATTAACGGATACTTTAATAAAAGCTAACTACAACTCAGTATTACAATATTCAAGAAATTTTATGATATATTCTCATTATTACTAACAAAGTTGTAAAACTTAAAGATATTAGGTGTAAATGCAGATGGGTTCTTTTATGTGTAATTTATTCTTAATTTATTCTTCTTAATTTAGCTTATTTAGGATTCGTTATAAAATAAATAAAGAATAAATAAAATTTAAATGAGCTAACTAATATATGTGTTTAAAGTAGAAAAGACTCGTAATATTTTAGGTACTACTCAATGAGTAAGTAATAATTAAATATTAAAGAATAAATTATCAAATAAATCACTTGAGTTTATAAATGTTATAGAAACCTAAAAGAGAAAAATATTCACATTAAGATGCTACTTCTATGGTAAGAAAAGTGATGTGAAGAGGATTATAAAGCTTGGTTCAAAAGATAAAGATATAAGCTAACTTTTATATATTTTAAATCAAATATTATGAAAATCCCTTTTTAATACTTAATAAATTAATTTTGATATTTTAACTTAATAAATAATTATTATAGGAAATCATCTGAAGGCAAAAGCAATAGCAATAAATACTTATCGGTTATACTTAGAGATGATTTATTTGATAGATCTTGTGTATGTATATTATGTTCTTACAATTCTATAAATTTGGTTTCTTTATATTGAATGTTAGGATATTATCTTTCTTTTGGTAGCGATAAGTTTATTATATTTATAATTTAATTAAAGTTGATTATGATAGGAAATCATCTTAAGGCAAAAGCAATAGTAATAAATACTTATCGGTTATTCTTATAGATGATTTATTTGATAGATCTTGTGTATGTATATTATGTTCTTACAATTCTATAAATTTGGTTTCTTTATATTGAATGTTAGGATATTATCTTTCTTTTGGTAGCGATAAGTTTATTATATTTATAATTCAATTAAAGTTGATTATGAAATTTTGTATGATATTTGTACAAAATTATTATAAATCTTGAGTTGTTAGCTAACTTATAACCAAATATTAGCATGAAATATAGTTGTATAAATTTTCTGAGATTATATATGTTTACATCTATGGATCACTCCATATTCCTATTTTAGTGCAAAAAGATATTTTATCACATTTATAAGTGATATGTTAAGATATGATTATATATATCTAATTCATATAAAGCCTCGAGCTATTAACATATTTAAGTGTACATGATGAGTCAATGGATAATTAGATATAAAGGTTTAAATTATCAAATTCGATAAGGGTAGTAAATTTTATAGTAAGCATGATAAGTTAGATCATAATCTTGATCATTTTGTTAGATTTTTAAAAAATAGTAAATCAACTGGAATGATAATCTCAAAATTTAATATTTTGAAGATACAAGTTGATGCTTCTTTATCATTTTCTATTCGGGAGGTTATTTCTCAAATCACTAAATGATTTAATAAGATAAATAATAAAATAATATTGATAAACTCTCATATGATGTTGATATCAGTATTGATGAACTTATAAAATAACTATAACCGATAGTTTAAAAAAAATCTAAAAAAAAAAGAGTTACTAGTTTTTATGATATATCTACAAGAATCAGATTATCACATAGAAATTAGAAGGATCCTTTGTTTTCATAAGTTAAAGTGATAATTCTGAAAAGTGGTACGATGTGATAAAAAAAAGTTAAAATCAATGAACTAGAATGGTATTTAAAAATTTATTGAATTACCTAATAATTATAAAAAAGTAATTATAAATTAAATTACTCAAAAGATAATATCAAACAATATAAAGCATGTGATTCGTAAAGAAAGGAATATAAAGAAAAATTTTAGCTTACAAATTTTAAAAATTTGACCTTAAACAAGCTTATAAGATAATAATATATAAAATTTCATTATCATTACTTTTTTAATATTTTAAAAAAATATTATTAATCAGTATTTATATCTAAAAGTTAGTAAGAGTTAGTTTATTATATTTCTTTTATATATAGATGATATTTTGATTGTTAATAGTGATCTTAGTTTATTGTATGAAATCAAGATATTTCTCACTAAAAATTTTAAGATAATTGATATGATTGAGATAACTTATCTTATTAACATAGAAATATTTAAAATATATCTCAATAATTATTAAGACTATCGCAAAAGGGATTTATTAATCAAGTCTTAGAGTAATTTAACATATAATTTTGTTCAGTAAATAATAAACATGTAAGATTCAATCAAAGCTAGTATTTTCTAAAATTGACTTTAAAAATAAATAAATAAATAAAAATTATTTCTTATGCATACATAAATAGAAGTTTATTATATGCTTAAGCTTATACTAAACTAAATATCAGCTTTATAATTGGAATACTAGATATATATTAGAGTTATCTAGAAATAAAATATTAAAAAGCTATAAAAGAATAAAATAAGATATCGGACGAAAAATTATATACTCATATATAGAAAATCAGATCAACTTAAAATGATGATATTTTCAAATATTGATCTTGTAAATTACCTTAATAACAAGAAGTTCACTATTTATGTATTCATTAGCTAGAAGGGTAATTTATAAATATAGTATAATATAAATTATATTATAGCTAATTTTATGGGAAACTTTGAGGCCATATAATTTGATATTTTGTATCATACTCTACTAGTTTTTTTTTCTCTAAGAATGATAAATATTATAGTAGTAGCATATTAATATAAAGTACTTAGTGGCTAGCTTATTGATTATCATATACGCACCTTCTATATTTTGATTTATGATATTTTATTTTAATCCAAATATAAAATATTTTTATAATAATTTTTTTATATCGGGGAATAGGGCTAGGGTTTGAGATTTCCCGTTGTCACTTTTCAACTCATGGGATCGAAAGAAATTACGATGATGTCGATCCAAAATTTTTGAATGAGGAGATCGAGGAAGATACGGTGTCAACATAGTATACCCCACGACAAGTAGCGACGAGGCGAGGATTTCGATTGTTTATATTAAAAAATAATAATTTATTTTTGATAAATAGTATAAACATAATTGAGTCCAATGGTTCGTGTCGAATTCGTTGTCCAAGGCAGATTCCTAGCCCAAGATGACACACGTCCATCATTTCCGGATGAAATTTACTATTCATACATTTTTCTTCTTTTATTATTGACAGTCACTTCTAATTGATAATTCATAAAAAAAATAAAATAGTATTTTATTATTTATAGTTTCAATATTATTATTGTTAATTACGAAGGCAATTGCCAATCACCGTAGCGTGCTCCCTACTTATGTTATTGTCATCGATCTCTCTCGTTATTTTCTTGATACCATCTTCTAAAGAGGAGAAAGAAAATGGTATCAAGATAAAATATTATAAAAAAAGAAAAAAAGAAAAGATATTAAAGTTGATTTGTTATAAAAAATTATTTAAAATATTATAAAATACACATAATATAAAATTATAAATAATAAAAAGATTCCGGATTCACCGATTATGACCTTATTCCACAAATAAACCTCATCATGGGCCATAATTACCAGTCACGTGTCGGCGAGACGGCCCTGTGCTCACGTGACCGCGCTTGACGTTGAGGAACTCTTCGTGTGCAAACGGCGACGTGGAGCAGCAGGCCGTTCTTCTTGGCTTCGTTCAAACAGAAGAATGATTTCATAACCATATGTTGTATAAGGACGCTAATCATTTCAATTTTGATGTGGTGCAGTGCGTGTATTGTCTGTACACCGATCATTCCGAAGAGGAGAAAGGACTTTTTCATAACCACAACTGCTTGGTAATTGTCAAAAATATCCTTCCCAGTAGCTCTGCACGGAGGAAGGAGATGTGCTGCGGCTCTGCTGAGACCAACAAGGAGTGTTGGTCTCGCTTGCGCCGCCGTTCCTGTCGGCTATGCTCAGCAGCTCGGCCAGCACCTCCATCATGCCCGGCCTCGCGTGCGGCGCATCCGCCGTGCACCTCAGCCCCACCGTCAGCAGGGCCAGCATCTCCGCCGCGCCCTCTTCCTCCCCCGCCCGCAGCCCCCCCTCGGCCTCCGCCGCCCGCCTCACCCGCTCCACCAGGCACTCCTCCCCGCCGTCTATCGCCCGGCGCCCCGTGGCCATCTCCATGGCCAGCACCCCGTAGCTGTACACGTCGCCTCGCGTCGTCGCCCTCCACGTCTGCCCGTACTCCGGCGCCACGTACCCTACCGTACCGGCCACAACTGTGCTGACGTGGCTCTCCCCGGCCCCCACGGAGCGGGCCAGGCCGAAGTCCGTCACCCGCGCCCGTCCCCACGCGTCCAGCATCACGTTGCTGGCCTTCACGTCCCGGTGCACCACCGCGGGGACGCACTCGTGGTGGAGGAACGCCAGCGCCCGCGCCACCCCCGTCGCTGCCCCGAGCCGCCGCTGCCACCCGAACCGCCCCCAGTCCTCGATAACCTCCTCCAGGCTGCCCCCCCTCCATGTACTCGTAGACCAGCACCGCCGCCTCCCCCGCCAGGCACCAACCATACAGCCTCACCAGGTTGGGGTGGCCCCGGCCCCGCGCGCCTGCCATCACCTCCATCTCCGCCTGGAACTCCCGCTCCCCCGCGTCCTCCCCCTCCCTCATCTCGCCCTTCCCCCTCCGCCGCTGCATCTTCTTCACCGCCACGCACCGGCCGTCCTGCAGCACCCCCCGGTACACTACCCCGCACCCGCCCCGCCCCACCACACTCCTCTCGTCGAAGTTTCCCGTCGCTGCCAAGATGTCGCCGTACGTGAACGCCAACTCTGCCTCCCCGTTGTCCAGCCGGAACACCCTCACCCCCACTCCATCCGACGACGAGGAGTAGACCGACATCGCCGCGTCGCTCCGACGCTTAACGCCGTCCGATAGCAGCTCCTCCGGGTCGGGGTCCACCGCGGAGTGGGGCCCCCGGAGACGGAAGACCGCAAAGGAGAGAGCACCGCACGCGACGAAGATCGAGGTGAGCGCGATGAGCACCCAGAACGCCACCGTCGTCCACCGCCCGTGCCCGCCGGATGCACCGCCGTCCCCGGATGGCGGCGGAGCACCGCGGCCCGACAAGGAGGGGAAGCCGATGAGGGGATCTCCCAAGAAGCTGTCGCGGTCGAAGGTGGCGATCTGACCGGTGACCGGCACCGTGCCGGAGACGAGGGGGTTGTAGGACACGTTGAATTTGTTGAGCTCGGAGAGGCCACTCAGGCTCGGTGGAAGCTCGCCGGAAAAGTTGTTCCTGGAGAGGTCGAGGCTCGTGAGGCATCGCAGGCCGCCGATCTCCATCGGGATCTCGCCGGACAGACGGTTGTCGGAGACGTTGAGGATGACAAGCGGGAGCCCGCCGATCTCCGGCGGGAGGCGACCGGAAAGGTGGTTGGCGTCGAGATGGATCAGGCTGAGGTTCCTCATCCGGCCGATCTCCGGTGGTATCCCGCCCGAGAGCCGGTTGCCGGAGAGCTGGAGGTAGCCGGAGATCGCTAGGGATCGGACTTGCGACGAGGAGTTGGAGCAGATCGGGAAGATCCCGTAGCCCTTCAGGAGGCGGTCCCAAGTAGTTCGGCAGCTCTGCCTCGTCATCTGCGTGTAGATGAAGTTGAACGGCGGGTAGCTCGCGGGTATCCATCGGTTCATGGTGAGGCAATCGCCGGATCCGGGGGCGACACCGCGGATCTCACGGCGATTGGCCTCGAACGTCGGGGCCGGATTCCTCCCGATCGCCGATATCTCCGGCGGGATCCCGCCGGAAAGCTGGTTATTGGCAAGGTTCAACCACAGCAAGCTGCTGCAGTTGCCGATCTCCGGCGGGATCTCGCCGGTAAGATCATTGCTGGCGAGCATCAACCACAGGAGCGATGTCAAGTTTCCGATCGCTGGAGGGATCGAGCCAGTGAGCTTGTTGTACGAAAGATCCAGCAACTGAAGCCCCGCCATTCTGCCGAACTCCGGCGGAATGCAGCCGGAGAACCCATCATAGGCAAGAATCAACATCTTTAGCTTCGGCATCGTCGTGATCTCGACCGGGAGATTGCCGGAAAACCTGTTCGTGCTCAAGTCCAATCTCATGAGACTTCGAAGCTTGAGAATTCCCGATGATAGAATGCCTCCGGTGTACTGATTCCCACGAAGGATTAGATAGTTGAGCGTCACGAACCGGCCGAAGATTTCTTGGATGTCGCCGCCGAAGGTATTGTTGCTGAAGTCAAGAAACACCAACTTGGAGCAGTTCAGCAGCTCCTCAGGTATATTCCGGTCGAACGAGTTATTCCCCAGGTTGAGCGCGCTGAGTTCCGAAAGCGAACCAATACCGGAGGGAACCGCTCCGGTGAACGCGTTGCCCCACAGGTTGAGAGATGTTAGCTTCGAGCAATTGGCGATCGAGCTGGGGAACGTGCCGGAGAAGCTGTTCCTGGCAAGGTCCAAGCTTTCGAGGTCGCAGCCGGAGGCAAATGTGCTCGGCAGAAACTCTCCGGTGAAGCTGTTCTCGGAGATCAAGAGTTGCCGGAGGCTCGGGAAGCCTGGCCATATGCCTCCGACGAAGTGGTTGGAGCTCAGGTCGAGGTACTTGAGTTTGGGGCACTGGTCGAAGCACTCGGTGATGTCGCCCCCGAAGCTATTTGTCGAAATGTTCAAGCTAACCAGATTGGCGCACATAGCGGGGAAGTTGGCACGGATGCTGCCATTGAAGCGGTTGCACGTGAGGTCGAGCGTCACCAGATTGGTGAGGCCGGTCAAGTTGAGCTCCCCACCGATGATGTTGCTGGAGAGGTTTAGGTACTCGAGTCCGCTGCACCTGTTGAGGTCGGCGGGAACGAAGCCGCCGATGGCGTTGGCAGAGAGGTCAAGGTGGGTGAGCTCCGTGAGCAGCGAGAAGTTGGAGAAGATTTCACTAGATATGTTGGACTCTGCAAGATAAACGCCATTGACGCGGCCGGCGCCGGTGCAGGTGATGCCGGGCCAATTACAAGGGGAAGAGTCGGACGCATTCCACCGAGCATATGCGCCTCGGTAGATGGGGTTGTTGGCTTCGAGGTAGTCTTTCAGAGCGAGCAGCACCTCCCTGTCGGTCGCACCGGCGATTGCTCGACCTGCTCGGTAAAACCACTCTGTGAGATGAATGCTTCTCTTTGGGAAGATAAGAGACAGTACAGCAGAAAGAAGCTTCGAAAAATGGATGGAATCAGACTATGAGCAGGCAATTCTGTCATGGATGGAACACTGAGAAGCCACGAAAAGGTCTTTGAGCTTTTGCATCAAACATCTAAAAAGAAGACGAGAGAGAACAGTGGGAGGGAGGAGGAGGAGAGAAGCCAGAGAAGTGTACCTGTGATGAGAATTAAGGAGAGCAGGAGGAGGAGACAGCCAGAGAAGCTCACTTCGTCTTCGGACATGTCCCTGCTACTATCATCAAAAGAAGAGAAGGATGGCTTGATTGACGCTAACAATAAACAAATGAGATGTTGCTGCACAAGGCTCTTCTTGTAAGGTTCTTATTCTCCCTCTTCTCGATGATGTGATCATCTAAACCTTGGGTTATCAGAATCGAGTAAGAAGATGTGTGCATAAAATATAAGCTTCTTCTCACCCCGAAGCAGGGAGGAATGCTGGTCCTTCCTCCTCTCTTCGTTTTCAGAAGCTCAAGCCCAGCTTATTACGGGCAACATCTTCCTCCCTTACTGCTACATTTATTATACCTTTATTCACAGAAATTTCAGCTAACTTGTGCTCCTTCTTCCCATCTTGCTGCTGTATTATTCATATATTCTTTTGTGAAGTTTCAGTCCAACTTAAAAAGCTATGACAAAACCAGCAAGGTGTGCCAATGGTCGCTTCACATGTTGCGTGCTTACATTGATTTGGTCTGTACTTTAGCACCGGACTAGTATTCCAGTTTGACTATCCAAAAACAATTACACCTCCAAGACGGGCCGCCGCCATTGTTGACTATATGCCAAGTTGGGATTTGGTTGATGAGACAGCAAAGTCCAAACTTTCTAAGAGAAGAGAAGTATGTTGGTATGGAAAAGGCAAGCACGGTTACTGCTGTCTAAGCATCTATTTTCACGGATTGTTATTTTTAAACTGGATAAAAAATAATAGAGGGAGCTGTTTGAACATAGTTATGAATCAAAGCCCCCACCTTATGGCTTGAATAAGAAAAAGGTTTTCCTTTATGACATTGCGCCTCCAGGCTTATATACTTTGACCCTAGTCACTGCAACGACTTGGGTGTCGTGAGGTTCTGCTGAAAAGTCAAATGCATGGTTTTTGACTGGGGAAAGTGAATTCATTTCCCACTCCATTCTACTGAATAAAAAGATCGCAAGTGCTTGCTGATCACCAGATCATTCAAAGATGGAACAGTAAAGAAAGAATATGGATGGGAATCTGTCTGATGAGGTAGTACTGCAGAGATAGATGGTGTGTTTAGTTTTCTGTGGATCGAGCAACTCCATTGATCCAAAAAGGAGGAGGAATTTAATTATTGCCTGCAGCAGCTACGTTCCAAAGAGTGCAGTTTGCTTTACTGCAAGTCACGGCAACATCATCTATCTTTCTTTCTTTCTTTCTGTTATGAAGCTTGCAAGGTTTACTTGAGTCTAACTTGGTTGGTGGCTTCGAAGAACAACAGCAAGCAAGCAAATTGGAACAAGGTATAAGGCGTGAAGGTGCCACTGTTGGGAAACTTTGTGACCTAATTCCAATAACATATTAGAGATATGATTGGGCATGGCATCAAATCACATCTACACATTTCTCTCTTTCTATGAGTTTATTCCTCTTGGAGCATGGTTTAATGCCCCTCTGGATGCTTAGAGTTTGCACCGAGTTTAATGCTAATGACATCATGAAGTAAAACATGGAGGAACAGCCCATGATGCTACAAGAATCATCTTGGAATGATAGCATCATATGAACATGTTAAATTATCATTCGTGTTTTGGAGGTAGCTGCTCCACTAAGAAGAAGGTGGTGCATGTAATAATTCCTCTACCATGTAGCAATAACTGAACTCATGGCCTTCCCCTGAGCCTGACAAGGCACCAAGGTTAGGCCATACATATCAAAATCCCATTCATCTTTGCCTTTGTACTGACACATGTTTTGACAAGAAATCTATCTGAAGTCCAAACCAGTCATTGAAGTCAAAACTTACTTACAGGAGAGCAATGAACTGCCCATTGCTCAATGGCAAATGATATTTGCGCCCTGAACGAACCGGAAACCCAACATTGGACCGTCGCTAAAATCTTGTACTATTGGTAACCAACATGCACAAAACAAGAAGCCGGATTAAGACTAATACATAAGAAGAAATGGCTTTCCGGTGACAAACCTCATATGCTTAATTCTGGGAGGTTCTACACAACTTGTTTCCCTCTGGAACATTTCATCATCATAAGAAAAAGAAGAGGAGGAGGGCCTACCAAAAAGGATTGTCCAACTCATAGTGGACGTAGTAGTCCATGAGAGAAACCTTTTAGTACTCCATGGAACCTCGACCAAACTCATCTGAGAAAACTTACTTTACAGAAGTTGTGATTGCTGATCTTCCATAATTTACAAAGGAAGTTCCGCGTGCCTTTAGATCCACCCGCATGCCTAAACAGAGGACAACAACTTCAGAAAATTAAAATACCTAATCATGTGTTTGATATGCATGGCAAGGGAGAACAATGTTTATTGCAATTATCGTGACTGGTTAAGATCCTGACTACCATTTTCATCATTCTGCCAAACCTCCTTGCCAACATCCTAATCAATGGTTTACATGACAAAATATCATCTTTTCCTGCACCTCAAGTAAAATTGGCGCCCCATGACTTTGTGGCAATGGCCATTGAAGAACCCTTGATTCAACATATATCACTTGAGTCATCATTTTTTTATTACTCCTGCAAGTTCTCATAGTCCATCAATCAGACAATGCTGCACATCCACAGTCTCCGAAAGACCACAGGAATCTGCACCGTGCTGATCCTCATAGGACGTACATGATTCATCTTGAACATCTTGCTCCACCACAGAATTCTGCAAATTCTTGTCCATAGGTTCCTTTGGAGGCACAAAGTTTGGCTTATCAATATTGTAGCCTTCAGAAACAAAACAAGAAGCTCCTTCATTCTCCCCAACAATGGCATGTTCATCAAGCTCATCTCCACCCTCATGATCTTCATTCATCTTGATATCCTCGTGATCAGCTCGGTTACAGGTAGCAGCATCTGCATCTGCATCTGCAACAGACTCTACAATAGAATCCTCTTCGTTTTCCTCTTCAGCTGCAAACTCATCATCATCACTTCCTTGCCATTCATCATCATCACTATCAACATTTGATGGATCTAACCTGTTCTGTTCGGCCCTCTTCCGAAGCATGAATACATTGAAATAGTAACTGACTAGCTCTTTGCTACTCCGAGCAGGAAAGAAATAAGGCAACACATCCCAGAAGTTCTTACCGAGTGATTCAGGATTTGATAGGACAACTTCTTGAAACAAATGCTCCTCCTCTATGGTCCATTTACAAGCTACATCCTCTCCCATGTCACATAAACCCAATCGTTCAAACATGTCCTGTCCCAAAAATTTCTTAAGCTTTTCTCTTGCTTCCTTAACATGCTGGCTTATGCATCTGACTGAACTCTCATCCAGACAGCTACAGTCAGTTTTATGGAGCACATCTCTAATTTCTGATGCCAACAAAGAGGACTCTGGCATTGGAATGATACAAGAATGAATCCATTTTTCACTGTCATCGTCGTTTACTAAATGACAAACAGTTGAATAGACCAATGGAGAAGCACAATGACCACAGTCACCAATTTTCTTACAACTATGTGAACTCCACTCTGGAACATCAGCTTGATGATTTGCTCCAATAGCAACAGGTTTTCGAGGAAAGTAATCAAAAGCAGGTGACAAGAACTCGTCTGCTTGACATAGCCCAATTGTGTGGTGGTAATTTTCATAATAACTAGAAAGGGAATCTAAGCCAACTGGTGATCCCAAAACTGCCTCTTCATCATCAGGATTGGATATAAACTGGTTTCTACCAGTTACCTTATTAAAATGATCTACATGACGAGATGCATCACTGTTCTTCAGATGGTCATTGGGAACAACTAAGCCTACAGTTACGGAATAAGTTATAAACCTTTCCTCTCCCCCAAATCTTATGAGTGTTACTAGATTAAAAGATGGAAGTGATAAATGTACTAAAACTACCTGAAGATGGTGTCAGAGATTCTCTAAACTGGACTTCTGCATATGAATCCAAATAAACATTCTTGTCCACTTGCTTTAGGCGCTTGCATGCAAGTAGGTATACTTCGTCATCAGAGAAAGGCCGTTTGCTTTGCTCTGACAAAACCCTATCAGTGATGATGCTCATCACTGGTAACAAGCAACTATTACCATGAATGCTAGGGAAACTTGTCTTGGACGCAAGATGAGCCACATCTTTTTTGCTGTCCAAGATATCCAGCAGTCGATCTGTAAATCAGATTAAGTTGAGAGAGCTATACCAAGAAAATTATTCTCTATGACATGCAAGTAAAAGTGAAAAATTTATGACCAGAAGATGGAGATTCCTCAGAGATAGCCCTTGACGAAGAAATCCCATCAGCTGACGCAAGGTGGCCATCACAATCCAATTCTTGGAGTTGCTCATTAGCAAGTTGGCTGGCCTTATCATCAACCAAATTCTGTTCATTATGCTTAAAAAACATGTTTGACCTGCAATTCTAACAAGACAAAAAGTTATATTGGAGAAACAATAATAAATGAAAGATATCCAGAAGGATAATTTTTCCACGACTGATAAAGGATGGGCCTTGGTACAATGGTAAGGTTGTTCCTTTGTGACTTAAGAGACCAGGGTCCGAATCACGGAAACAACCTCTTTAAATATTTAAAGATAAATCTGTATACATTGACCCTCCTCAAACCCATGTTGGCAGTAGCCTCATGCACTGAGTACACTCTTCTTTTTTTTAAACAGAAGGTAATTATTTTATATAACAAGACAAGTAGATAACCCACAAAACTTTAAAAGTCGAGCATTTCTTGATAACAATGAAATAACAGACTTTCAGCCTTTTCTTTTCATCATTATTCTGGAACAAACTGAACACCAGGCATACAAGGCATGTAAGCAAGAGCTAGCTAGTGAAAATGAGAAAGAGAAGGCAGGGAAGGTGGATGGAAAGAGAGACCAAAAATCACTGATGCACATGCTTCCCGCATGTCCATAGATATAATGTAGGCACAGAAAATGATGGAGATGATGAATCAATTCATTGCTTAGATTAAAGTTGGCAGCATATCCTGGTTCACCAAAGACACTTGAAAAAAATCATGTTTGTAGTAATTGATACTGCAACTCATAACCTGTATGATAATTGTTAAATTTGGGCAACATACCAAGTTAGGAGCCCTAGCCTAACATGCAAATCAGACAAATAGCAAATTTCATTATCCTGACCCTGTTATCTACCAATATGTAAATTGGTATCTACCCATAGATACCGGTCCGACTGAGTTGGCATAAACGTCCAGGATGGAAGTTTATGCCATCACCTCCATCATCTATAATGAGCCTTGCTCCCAAAGCACTAGCGGTCTGCTTCGAGTGTCATCCTCTGGTTCTCCAACCCTGCTGTAACTCACCACCACCACCTTCCTTATTCTTCATGTCCATTGCTACAAGCATGCCCTTGACAACTGCTGTGTTGGCAAGGTCCACATCATCCTCAATGAACTCAATGCTGAAGACAACAGCAAAACCATTCCCCCTCCTCCTTTGCAACCTAGTTCATCAGCTATCAATTCAAGTCCACAGGCCTTGTCCTGACAAGTGCAAAAGGGTGTCCTCAACTTCTCCTTCGAGTTCCTCAACTGCCTTCCCGTTGATCACATGACAAAGTTGCCAACCTTGCTGATTATCCCACCATGGTGCTTTTGTCCACAACCTACCACACCACAAGGAAGGAGAGTGCCATCAGCTCTGCTTCCTCCCTCAATGGTGCTGGGAGATTGTTTATCACTATTTTTGTTGGAGCAAACAATGATGGAACATAAAGGAGAGGGAAAACATGGAAAATGGTGAGTCATGGTGGCACATGCCACACTTGCCATCATCTGTGGTTGCATGGGGCGGAACAACATAGGAGAGCAATAGCATTGTTCCTGTAGTAGTGTTTATTCATTGGGCTGATGAAATGTATGTCTTGTTTTAATTTTTGAGTCACTTGGCCAGATTGGGCATGGGCCTTTTATTGTATGACACATGCCAGCTAGGACTACTGCTTTTTGACTTGGTCTCAAACCAGGCCAAGCCTGCTAAAGCAAATGGATAGGAAAGGCTTTCATATGGACAAGCATGGGCTTAACCCATCACCAACCCTGCATGAAATTCAGTGAGACAAATATTGAGTCCCACAGTAACTAAAGCTCATAGTTATGACCTTTTTTTCGGAACACCTGTGCCTAAAAGGCAAGACCTAATGTTATTTTGATTTTATTACTCCCTATGGTATCCATGAAATGCAAGTGATGGAATTAATTTTCTTTATAAAGATTATGACAGATCACTTCTCTGAGAAAATATAACTATGATTTCCCAAGAAAATTCCCACATTTTGGATATTTCCCAATTGACACCCCATTTTGTTTTTTTTTTTCAAATAGCACTCTGAATTTGAAAGTACCTAAAATACCCCTCAAAATTTTCCACCCATTATTTTACCAATTTTTAATTGCTACTGCATTTCATTTAGCTCGTTTACAATATTTTTCAATAGCATTTACAGTGTTTTTATTGAGGTACTGAAAATGCTGATGAAAAATACTGTAAGTGACAGCATACTGTATCTCTTTGGTTGTTATTGCTCATAGACCATTACGATATCATATTTTCAGGCTTGTAATTGATTTGGTCGAGGTTAGGAGTCTATTTTGATCATTTATAATGTTTTTAAATAGGTTTTACAGTGTTTTTACTCTGGTGGCCAAAACACTGTAAGCCAACTTTTGATTTCTATTTGGATGACGTTGTTTCTAAACAATAAGGAATACCTATTTGAATCATAATATGATATATCAAATGGTTTCTAGTGCGTTTTGATTCCATTTGGCTCATTTACAGTATTTTAAGTAGACTTTACAGTGTTTTTATTGTGGTGGGCAAAACATTGTAACATGTCAAAACACTATAACAGGCTGAAAAATTTTTGAGGAACAATTTGGGCTTTTTTTGAATGAGTGGTCTATTTGAGAAAAACTAAAAGATGGGGTACTGTTTGGTAAATACTCAAAATGTGGGTATTTTCTAGGGAAATCACCCAAAATATAATGGTTATAAAGTTCTTTAACAAAATATAATGGTCATAAAGGAGGTTTTCTTTAATTGAAAAATAAAATAAACAAAGCAAGTGGTTTGGCATATTAGTTTTTCACATCATCTCCTTTCTTTCTTTCATTCTTAATTGATGCTTAGCTTTCCTCCAATTCCTATGTTTTCTATTTCTGCTGCTTTCTTCTTCTTTTCAACAGCTACATTAGTATTTCTATGTTGATGTAACATTCTGGTCTTTCAGCTAATGTGCCATAAAATTTTTTAATTATTAGATATTACTAAATGATGATCAAATCTACTTCTATATTATTTAATCCTAAGAATCACTTATCATGAATACTCATGTTCTGAGTCTTGCTTCAAAACAACTTTGTACCTCAATTCATGCCTTGCACCTAGGTCCAAGAGCCCTGTTGCCTAATGCACCTTGAACCGTTAATAATTTTATTCCTATGAATCTAACTGTAAAATTTCCAATAATTTGGTTCCTCAAAGCAGCAAATGAGTCAAAATTGCGGCAAACTAATTAAGCTCAGAAATAAACTCAGTACTCCTCATTCATGTACTGGTCTTGCATTTTTCAGTTAGTGATGGTAGTTACTAGTTTTGAGCATATTGAAGCATTAAACTAAAAAATGACAGTCAAGAAAAACAAGACCAGCTTGTTGGATAAAGAGTCATCTGCCACAGGATCTTGATGCCCTGTAGACTATTTTTACATCAAGAATTTGAATTGGCTCATGGTATGTTCTAGATTATTTCAACTTTTGAATATTTTTTGATCATATTCTTTGGTATTTTATAAGGCTTTTGTAGTTTCTTGTTACTTCAGTGTTGATATTGACATGGGTTACGTTATGAAACCCCAGCCATGCATAATTAACATGCTCTTTTCTGCTAAATCTTCCTTCTTTCTCAGATTAAAGATTGTAAACTGAATGAGACTAAGAACTACTAATTCCAGCATCAGACTGATGCAAGTTGAAATGCTCTATCATATAAGCGATGTAATATATTAAGTACGAAAGACAGGTAAAATCAACCAAAGCAAGTCACAGTGAAATAATATTAGACAACTTGCATGAATAAGAATCAATAAGTTTAAAGCGTAAATGAAAGCAACCAAGTGAGAATTTAGCTTTACAAGCTACTGTTATTAGAGTATGCCAAGGAAAAAGAACATGTGGGCCCTGGACCAATGGACAAAGCAAAATAGATTCTGGTATCTCAAAGGTTCCACATTTGTAGCAGAGCCGATCAAACAATACTTCCAGGGAAACATTCACTCATCGAACATAAGAGTAGCCTGATCCCCAGTTCAAAGATTGACTAAACCCAGCTCAAACAAAATAGGACGAAACACAAAGAATAACAACAATTTGCCTAAGAATCCAGAGGAATAGTGGAACATCTATGCATCGTGACCCTGGGATTCAGCGATAAGGAACATTGCAAGACGGGAAACACTGCACACAAATAAAAGCTAATACAACGTAAGATAAGAGATATGTGTTCGCAAGCGATCGAATCAAGAACCCATAGAAATCCTAACCCAAGAAACGATCTTGACACTGCACAAGAGAACAAATCGAAATAAATCAGAAGAGGGGAGACACATCAGAACAACCATCGCAGCAAAAGGCCCACAGATCCAGAACCAATTTGAGGTTAGCAGAAGACACGCAAACCATAACCCTACAACCGATCACAAGCAGAAAAACGGGACGAAATTTGTACCGATCCAGAGAGGAAGACGAGTGTGCACCGAGGCAGCCTCGATTCACAGATCCAAAGGAAGAATCGAAGCAGGATCTGGATCGAAATCGGGTAATTTGGCGGGCAAAGAACCAGGAAAGGGGCAAAAGCTCGCGTTCGACCCCTTTTTTATTTTTATTTAATTTTATATTTCGATGATTGGATGCCGCGGATGCCTCATACAAATGTACTTATATACCCCTAATTAGTTTCTTAAAGTCAGAATTATGTTCGCATAACCTTTGTATTTAAAGTAAATGTTTTGGATAAAAGAGGAAATTTGGTCATCAAATGGCGGGCGCGACTGCCGTATGGGTATGATCTTTGATTCCATGGTTTGGCTCGATGCGGTGGACCGTCCGATGAATGGTTTATTGATCGAACGGCCAAAGATATCATCGTATCACGATAAAGAATAACTGCTTGGACGGCTCTGATCTATGATGCAGATGGTGCCACGTGGACGATGTTGTAGGTACGACAGTTATCTAAGCGGTTGGGTCCGCAAATAGCATGTGAAACTTAATATCTAAGAAGCTATTTGAAGTGTTCGAACAATCAAACGGTAATTAAATTTATTATTGTTGCTCTCGGAATCTCTAATTTCTGGCATTAGAGATTTAGCAGAGAACGCAATAATATGGCGCACAATATAACAAAGGGTGCCAAATCGTATAGCGTTTCTTTGATGTTTTACGCGTAATAATAGGAAGAGTAATTTAATTTATTTATCATTGAATATTTTTTTATTAATTTAGAGATATTTTATATATGTAATAACTTATCATGTGACAATATTTATACAAAAATAAAAATAAATACTGAAAAATTAAAATATATATAATTTTTGACTAAAAATTTTAAAGAAAGTTTTTTCAATAAAAAATATCATTATAAAAAAATAGTTTTAAATCAAGTCAAAAAATTATTTTATTCTTTTGATGATATGATTATGTTTATGCTAATATGATTATGTTGTAGATGACACAAGCCTTTAGCTCTTCTTTTTCATATTATCTTTTAATTATTATTTTCTATCTCTTAGAAAAATAAAATTTTGTTGCTACTGATCTACATCAAATCTTAGGATATAGTAGGCTTTTATTGTGGCTGGAATAGAATGAATGAATGAATGGAGCAAATAGATGAGAAAGAGAACAATTCAGCAACAGTAGCACATTGCTTCATGAAAACAAAATACTCCAACAATGCAGGACTGGAGGAGGCAGTGAAACCACATTGACCTACCCCTGCCTAATTATAATCTGAAGAAAAAGACTACAAAATAAATCAACAAGGTATCTCACTCTCTCCTAGGAATTTCTCTCTCTCTCTCTCTCTCTCTCACAAGCTCGTCACACTTAGACCACAGCAGGCATGTCTTTAAGCCATGGATCCAGTGGCTTGCCGATAGAGAAGACGATGAAGCCAATCTTCCTTAGTTTCTGCGGGTCGATCACGTTGCGCCCGTCGAAGATGAACGCCGGCTTCTGCATGTTCTCGTAGATCTTCACGTAGTCCAGCTTCCTGAACTCGTCCCACTCGGTCAAGATGCAGACGCCGTGCGCCCCCTTGGTAGCCTCGTACGCGTCCCAGGTGACGGTCACCTGCTTCACCGCCGTCGGGCTCGTAGGCTGCAGGTGCACCGGGTGGTCCCAGTCGAACTTCTTCAGCGCCAGGTCGCGCTGGATCTGCTCCTCGCTCACCTGCGGGTCGTAGATGCTGATCTTGGCCTTGTCGCCCAGCAGCCCCTTGCAGACGTCGATGGCCGGCGTCTCCCTCGTGTCGCCAGTGTCCTTCTTGAACGCGAATCCCAGCACCGCAATCTTCTTCTCCGACACGGTGTTGAACATGGAGGAGACGACCCGGTTCACGAAGCGGCTCTTCTGGTAGTCGTTCACTTTGATCACGTCCTTCCAGTAGCTGGCCACCTCGGGGAGGCCATTGCACTCGCAGATGTACACCAGGCTGAGAATGTCCTTCTGGAAGCAGGAGCCACCGAAGCCGACGCTGGCGCTCAAGAACTTAGGTCCGATCCTGGTGTCCTTCCCCACGGAGTATGCCACCTCGGCCACGTCCGCCCCGGTGGCTTCGCAGAGCGCTGATATCGCGTTCACCGACGAGATCCGCTGCGCCAGGAACGCGTTGGCGGCCAGCTTGGAGAGCTCGGCGGACCACAGATTGGTCGTGATGATCCTGTCCTCCGGGACCCAGTTGGCGTACACCTGCTTCAGCGCTTGCACCGCCTTCTTCCCCTCCGGCGTCTCGCGACCGCCGATGAGAACCCGGTCGGGGTTGAACAGGTCCTGGATAGCCGTTCCCTCCGCGAGGAACTCCGGGTTGGACAGGATCTGGAAGTTGATCCCTTTGCTGTTGTGGATCAAGATCTTCTCTATCGCCTCGGCGGTCTTGACGGGGACGGTGGACTTCTCGACTACGATCTTGTCGGACTTGGCGACGTCAGCTATCATGCGAGCTGCGCTCTCCCAGTAGGTGAGGTCGGCGGCCATGCCGGCGCCGAGGCCGCGGGTCTTCGTAGGCGTGTTGACCGACACGAAGACGATGTCGGCCTGGCCGATGTGCTTCTCGATCTCTGTGCTGAAGAAGAGGTTGCGCCCCCTGCATTTCTTCACCACGTCGTCAAGGCCTGGTTCGTAGATGGGGAGCTGGTCGCTGTTCCATGCCGCGATACGAGCTACCGAGATATCGACAACCACCACCTCAACCGAGGGGCACTTCAGCGCGATGACGGCCATGGTTGGCCCGCCGACGTAACCCGCTCCGAGGCAACAGATCTTCACCATCTTTAGCTTTTGCGCAGTCTGAAATCATCATACGATCGAGCATAAAACAAAGGAAACATTAGAAGACAGTATAAGATCAAACACACCACACCTCTCAACAATTATAGATTCAGTACATGACAATAAAAGAATCCAAATCTGAGAAGAACCAAATCCTTGCAGAAACAACAGCTAAAAAGATGAGAAGAGCAACAGGGAAAAGATCAATATTTGTGTGGGCATCTTATTAGTACGAGATCTCTTTGTCTTCCTTAGATTCCCTCCATCTAAAGTTGGCTGGATAAAAGAGGTGAAATTTTCATCAAAATCATAGAACTACCTTTTTTGTGAAGGGAGGAGTGCAAGAATCGAACACCTTTTAAATTGGAGGAAATGTCTAAGTAGCAACCAGTAAAATGTTAAGCTGGAGTTATAGGTAGTGATGCTGAACGCTGAGGACGCGGTCCATGGAACCTACAATTGAGGAAGACCCATTCCATTGCCGAAGTTATACACATCCACCACATCAAAGATCTGCAGAATGTATAACTAGGAGTAATCAACGGAGTAAATTGAATCAGATCCTTGAAACGCCAGTTCTTGTGATCTCATGTTTAGATTTACTTCTTGTGATCTTATTTGTAATAAGCTGTAGAAGAAGGCACCTAAGGAAAAGCAAGAACACGGTCAAGCAAAAAGATGTTGTATCATCCATCTACAAGCACGTGCTAATGCAACCATGGTGTTTGTGATTATGATGGACTTGAGTCGCGTTATGAAGTAGCGCGCCAATAAGATACCGTTGGATTGTAACGAACCGATATGATACATTATAACGGTCGTTATTTGGGATGAAGGCAACAAACGAATTGAAGGTTCGGGCGCTTCTCTGCCCTCCCGGATCGTGATGGCGAACAGAAGCTTCGTCGGGCTTGCCGGCCAGTGGCGCCGCCCGCTCCCTTCATCCCCTTGTTCGCGCGATCCGCCTCCACGGAGGTCGTCCGGTCCAAGATAAAGCTCCTGGACGACCCCAATCCCCGATTCCTCCGCTACGCCTCCCCACACCCCGCCACCGCGGGCCACAAGCCCATTCTCCCCGCCCCCCGCCCCATAATCATAACCCTCCCCAATGGCCTTCGTGTCGCCACGGAGTCCTCCCTCGCTACACGCACCGCCACCGTCGGCGTCAGGACCGACGCCGGGACCACGCATTTCCTAGAGCACATGATCTTCAAGGGCACCGTGAGACCGCACGATGCGGCAGTTGGAGGAGGAGATCGAGAACATGAGTGGCTACCTCGACGCTTACATCTCCAGGGAGTAGACCGCGTACTACGCGCCAAGGTGCTGGATAAGGATGCGCCCAAGGCTCTCAAGATCCTTGCCGATATCATCGAAAATTTCAGCTTGACGAGGGGCAGTTCAGCCGGAAGAAGAATGCCTTTCTTTTCGAGATGGAAGAGGTAAGCATTCTTCATTGCTCTGTAATTCTATAAAGGATTTGTTTTGTGTTTGTTCGCTTGTTTAAATTTGAATCTTTGATGCAAGTAGAGTTGGATGTGTGTGTGTGT